TTTTACAAATTGAACCTAAAAATTTCAAAGAGGCCGAGTTTGATGAGTTTTGGATTTTAGGAATGCAAGACGAACTAAATCAATTTGAGAGAAACCTTGTTTGGGATTTAGTCACTAGACTAATAGATCAAACCGTAATTGGAATGAAATGGGTTTTTAGAAATAAACGAGATGAAAATGAAATAATTGCACGTAACAAGGCTGGATTATTGCTCAATGTTACAATCAAGAAGAGCGTATCGATTATAAGGAAACCTTTGCATCGGTTGCTAGGTTAGAATTCTTTTGCATGCTTCTTGCTTTTGTTTGCTATAAAAATTTTACTCTTTATCAAATAAATGTTAAAAGTGCATTTCTAAATGGTTTTATTCAAGAATAAGCTTTTGTTGAGCAACCCCCGGGTTTAAAGATCACAAATATCCTAATCATGTTTTCAAACTTAGAAAAGGTCTTTACGGTTTAAAAAAAAGAAGCTCTTAGAGTTTGGTATGAGCGTTTGAGCAAATTTCTACTCTTAAATGGATTTTTAATTGGAAAAGTGGATGCTACGCTTTTTGTGAAAACTATAAGGAAGACATGCTTGTTGTTCAAATTTATGTTGATGATATTATTTTTGGTGCAACTAATGTTTGTCTTTGTGAAGAATTTTCAAAGTGTATGAGTATGGAATTTAAAATGAGTATGATGGGAGAACTTAAGTTCTTTCTTGGCCTTCAAATAAAACAAACAAGTGATGAAATATTCATAAATCAAATAAGTACATATTTGACATGCACAAGAAGTTCGAAATAGATGGCCTAAAGTCAATGAACACTCCAATGAGCACATCCATAAAACTTGACAAAGATGATTGAGGTGCTCCAATTGACGTAACTAAATATAGGTATGATTGGATCCCTTCTTTGTTTAACTGTAAGTAGACCCGATAGTATGTTTAGTGTATGGTTATATGCTAGATTTCAATCTAAACCTAAGGAATCTCATCGTAAAGCCTTAAAAAGAATCTATAGATTCTTGGTAGAACTCGAACCCTAGGACTTTGGAATCTAAAAGGAACTCACATTGATTGAAAAAGCACTAGCGGCACATGTCATTTTTCTAGGTTTTGAACTAGTATCATAGCTTAGTAAGAAACAAAATTGGGTGGCATTATCTACCGCTGAAGCCGAATATATCTCAATCGCAAGTCGAATATATCTCGATCACAAGTTACTGTGTACAAGTGCTATAGATGAAACAAACCCTTAGTGATTATCGCTTGTCTTACAATCATATTTCGATTATGTGTGATAACACTAGTGCCATTAACTTGTCCAAAATCCCATCTTGCACTTTCGAATGAAGAATATTGAAATTAGACATCATTTTCTCAAAGATCATGCATGAAAGGGAGATATCACATTTGAATTTATTGACACAGAAAATCAATTAGCCGATATATTCACAAACCTCTAGTCCTTGATCGATTCTCATTCATTAGAAGAGGTTTAGGAATTATTGACGAAAATGATGTGCTTAATTAATTCATTTAATTAGGTAAGATCCGGACGAGTCAAGACTAGTCAGGATGGTCCAGACAGCGTTGTCCAGTTTGGCCGAAACTTTCAGCTCTGTCAATCCAGATGTTCGGATGGTGAACCAGACGTCCGGATCAGCGAGAAATCAAATTTTAAATTCGTGCAACAGCCCCTCTTCTCTCTTCATTCTCTTCCATTTTTATGCCTTTCTTTCTAATCCCTCTCGAAATCACTCGTAAATTGCTTTAAAAGCATCAATCATCATTCAAATTCAAAAACCTACAAGATTGAATTTTACAAAATCCCAAAATTTCACAATTTTAATTCAAAATTCCTCCTTGTTGCCCAAATCCATGCCTAGAAAACGAATGAAACAAACCTTAGATGCTCTCCTCCACCTTCCTCCGACGTAGAAACGGATTTAGAGCCCTAGTTACCAACAAACCCATTTGAGAAATCACCCATTTTAATAGGTAAAAACGTTGATTTCGCCGATTTTACAATTGAAGTACCCGCATTTCACTTAGGAGAATATTTTGAAAATATGAGATGGATATCGACCACCACTATGGAAGAACCCGCATACCCATGTCTAATGATTTTTTTTTTTTATCAAAAATGTATGTTGCACCTCGTTCCAACGAGATTAGATGTTTATTTAAAAATGTACGCATCATGATCACGAAGGCACTAACTTGTGATATTCTAGATCTCAAACCGTGTGACTTACAAATTCTTCTTCATAAAATTCATCCTACCTTATACGGCTATGATCCTTCCGAGGCACGTCGTCAAGTCATCGGGAAGAATATCAAAAACATCACTAAATTAAGTGGTAATCAATTGAGTTTTCCATGTAATTTTACAAAATATTATCACGCATGTCAGTTTGCCATGAAAAGGTCACTGGGATGAGGTGAGTAATTTCAATCTCTTCATTCTTGATTCATTTCTCATCGGTCGAAAACTTGATTTTCCAACTATTGCATTAGGGCATATGAAACTTGTTCATTTATCACATCATTTTAAAAATTTACCTTACGGGATGCTTTTCACTAAACTTTCCAAATATTTTGACGTCCCACTTTTTTGACGAAACTTGTGTTAAACTTCACCCCATCAATACTATCAATATCAAAACTCTTAAACGCATGAAGATAGATAAGGAACATGGGCAATGGGTGGCGTAGACAAAAGGGTTCGACCCTTACTCGGATCCCTCGACTCTGCCCTTTGAAGGTGATGAAGAAGAGAAAGAAGATGACATACCACGTGTTTCGAGTCTTGCTCACGACATATTGAGCTCCAATGCTCCTTGTCCCTCGGGTGGTGGCTTCACATTTACTGAGGATCAAATAATATCCTAAATGGGGGTATTGATTCTTTTACCTCTTCGGTGGATGGCCTCGGCAATCCACTTCATCAAATTCAGGCGCAGAAGAATGACATCCAAGCCAGACAGGAGGAGATGCAAGCATAGTAGAATGCCTTCTTTGTTGACTTCTATGCTCGCTTCTCGCCACCGTCGCCTCCAGCGCCTTAGTTGTCTTTTGCTATGGAACACGTCTCGGTTTTTAGTTGTACTTTAAATGTCTTTCATGTCATTAATATTATGCTATTATTTGATGATCCATGTCTTAAATTTCATTTCTATGGTTGACATGCTTTTAATCTCTATTCCCACATATATTTTTGCTTAGATGATTATGCATGATAGGGGGAATATTAAAAGAGGGAATATAAGTGAAAACGATAGGGGGAATATATTGCAAATCAATTCATTCAATTTGTTCAATTCCTTATCAATTTGTTATTTTGTAAATCACCTTGTTTGTCATAATCAAAGGTGGAATTGTTGACCTATGGTTGACTTTTCATTTTGATTATCATAAACAAATTGCGTTTATATCTAACAAATCGAATTTGAGTGTTTATAGAGATTATTGCAAAAAAATTGAAGATATAGAAATCGAAGAAGGGACTTGCAATTGACATAAAAACAATATTGGCAATTGATAGATGTAAAGACAAAAACCAAGCATTCAAGACAAAATACTTTGAAGAAAAAGTGAAACGTCAAATAATGAGACATTAGATATAGATGCTTTGAAATCATATGTAAAGGTAAACACTTTAATTCTCAGCATTGAACAATAATAGTAAAAGATAGGAAAGTTGTGTGCTAATTATCCCAATTAATATTTGACTTTAATTGAATTTATAATCCAATTTATAAATTGTAACTAAATTGAGGCTAAGATTATGGTCTGTTTCTTTATAAAGTAAAATAAGAATAAATCGAAGAGGTGCTAATGTTGGATTGTTGTTTTGGACAATAATAATGCTACATGTATACTCTTGTGTGCACTTTGCCTTACACTCTACCTTATGGCACCATCACCCCCTTTAATTTTCTTAACAATCTTTCTCTAGTCTACCTAGATTATGCCACCTAAGAAATAGTGTAAGGCTAGATGTACACAGCATTAAACATAATTAGATGGCAATGACTTATTATTTGTTGGAGTTCTGAAGTAGTTTGAATTGTTTATGGATTATGGCATTCTTCTCTGAATTTTTCTTCTTGGACAAGAAGTTGTCCAAACAGAGGGCAATGTGGCCTTCCCTATTGGACAGTTGTCTACTTATGGCATTCTTCTCTAAATTTTTCTTCTTGGACAGGAGTTGTCCAAACAGGGGGCAATGTGGCGTGTCTAGATAACTCCCTGTCCAAGTAGCATGCCTCTTCTTCTCTTGTGCATGAATGATTGAATGTCGACAGACAACTGTCCAATAGAGAGGTGTCACATCACCCCCTGTTTAGACAACTCCCTATCCAAGTAGCATGCCTCCTCTTGTGCATGACTGATTGAATGCAGTTGAGTTTATTTATTTTATTTGTTGTGTGAATGTTGTAGTAGTTTGAATTAACACATTGGTTGTGCCTGAAGTGAGAATAACGCGGAGTACGCAAGAAAATTAATGCATTCTTTTTGTATGCAGACCTTCACAGGACAAGTAATATACAATTAGAAAGATAATCGAATTTAGAGTTTAACGCAAAATATGAAGTGCAAATCAAAGTTGCAAATAATAATTATGCACTTTCTCAAATTCATTTTTAGATACACATTCTTACAATAAAATATTTTTTATACTTTTTAATCACACATTCTTCGAAAAATCATTATTACAAAAAGCTCATTTTAATGGAATAGTGACTAAATTGCAAATTTCAAATTTTACTTCATTATGTCAAAAATTTGAATTCAGTATTTCCACAATCAAATTTGGATCCAATGATTTCAGTTATTAAATATCTAAAAGTTTGGATTCGATTCGATTATAAAGAGAACCAAATCGAATTAGACCATATCTAACCCTACGTGTAACCACTAGGAATGAGATGACGGTGTGATTTGCACTAAAAGTGATCAATATGAGGTTCAAATGATAGAAGTGAGAAATAGATGTACAACGAAGGTGAACTATAGGAAACAATTTTGTGTAAATTACCCTCATTTATAATCTCACTTTATTAACCGCTGGAACCCTAATACACCGGCGGTAAAATAAGAGTTTAACAGAGCAAAATTCCAATTAAACAATTTAATTTTGGTTTTACATGGGTGTGGAAGCGTCGAGTGCTGAATACTAATGTCATATCTCTTGAATCAGTTGAATGCCGTACGCCATCTTGCTGAATTCGAAGCCATGGTAACTCCCACTTCACCCCACCTCCACACCCTCTAAGAAACTAGAAGGAAATAAAAAATTTCATTAGTATTTTCGATTCTTTTTGTTTCCTCTGTCTAATTAATTTCAATTCCTATAGTTATTATTCTTTAAGAGGGTAATTGCTTTCGATTTTTATGCTTGAAGCCACGATCCGTGCATATGGATCCAGATTCAAGCTGTGATTTTTAGTTTTATCTTGATGGGATTTTCCCCATTCTCCTTCGGGTGAATTGATGAACATTTCGTGCTCTTGTATTTTAAATGATGCTTTATCATGTCTGTGTGAGTTCATGTCGAGAGATATAAGAAATGTTTTTTTCTTTAATTCGGGGTTTATATGATGCCAATTCAGTATTATAATTTATACCGTGAATTTTTATTAAAGCTCATTATTGAATATGCAAAATAATTGAAATTTTTTGTGCTTAAGTGGTTTTACAATGCATTTATTTTGTGAATTTCGTTAATTTTACAGGCCACGTCGAAGAAAGTCATAACTAGGGAAGAATGGGAGAAAAGGCTCAACGATGTAAAAGTAAGAAAAGAGGATATGAATAAGTTGGTGATGAATTTTCTGGTTACCGAGGGTTATGTGGAAGCTGCGGAAAAATTCAGATTGGAATCTGGGACGGAGCGTATCCCCTTTTAATTTATTCATTGGCGGTTTCACTGATATCAATATGCTTGTTTTTTAGTGTTTTGTGGTAGTGTTTTTGTTTTTTGGTTGCATTTCATATTTAAGCATATCTTTGATTTTCCTTATGGTTATATAGCTGACATAGACATTGCCACTATAACGGATCGCATGGCTGTTAAGAAGGCAGTCCAGTGTGGTAACCTGGAGGATGCCATTGAAAAAGTTAATGATTTGAATCCCGAGGTGCGATAACATATTGTTCTTGTTGTTATCAATGGGAAACAAAGGCGGTTTAATGCTGATGTGTTCAAAGTTCTCACATTCTTGCCTTTTGTTTGCTTGGCACTGGTTTATGTGGCTGTGGAGTCATTGTAACGCATCCAATGAAGATTGGATGCATTTTTATTATTGAACAATGGATTGATGCTAAGCACCACTACTGCTGCATAGCATTATTCCTTTTGAATTCTTTGATTTTGATGTTCTTTAGGAATGCTTGTGATTGTGGAATGAGAGATTGTCTTTGAAGTCTAGTTGTACATTTTTTCTGGAATTTGTTGCCTTTCATCTTATTTAGCCCCCGTTTGGTAGCAATTTTTCACTAAAAAAAAATTCAATTTTTTGACCGTTATTTTATTATTTCAGCCGTCCTTCATTTTTTACTTCTTCACTAACAGTTAGGATTCACTTTTCTCTCTAACGGTCAAAAAATCAATTCTCATAACCACTATCGAACAGGCCCTCAATCAGATTTCTGGACTTTGTAAACAGTTTGATTACTTTATTCCTTTTCTTCTTCCAGCATTGGAATATCTTTTGTACCTAAAAGAAGGCTTAACCCAATGCAGAGGAATTGTGGCAGTAGTCTATAGAGTAAGAAAGGAGTCTTAAATACCAAAATTTAGATGAAAAATTGAGAAGCTAATTTAAATTATGGCACCAAAAGGGCCGAATGTACCTCTGTGATGCTGCCACTTGCTATAAATATTTAAATGAAACCAATTGAAGATTCTGTTGATCTACCTTCATGTGTGGTTATTGATGATTTTGAAGTTTCAAACTTAGGTTTTTGGGGTTGAATAACTGGTGCATACCAGAAGCATTTGTTATATAGTTTATGCTTGACAGAATTTTATTGTTAATGATTTTCCATTATCAGAATTGCTCGGATTTTATTTTATTTTTTAATTTTTCATTCCATTATGATACATTTTTATTTATTTTTTCGATGTAGATCTTGGATACAAATCCACAACTCTTTTTCCATCTCCAACAGCAAAGGTTAATAGAACTGATTCGGAACGGAAAGGTAGAAGAGGCTTTAGAGTTCGCTCAAGAGGAACTTGCTCCACGGGGAGAGGAAAATGTAATTTTCATCTTGTTAATTATGCTTTTGCCTTTTTCCTTCTTAGTCTTATTGAAGCGAATCCTAGTTTTCGCAAATGAGATTTATCATTGTGATATGCAGTTGCATTTCTGGGGTCGCTTTTTACTACCTTTATATAATGTTGATGTAAAGTTCTTTTATCATGATTATTCATTTTTTTCCCAATACTGATGCTAAAAAAGAATCATAATTTCAGCAAAGCTTTTTAGAAGAATTGGAGAGGACAGTTGCGCTGCTTGCTTTTGAAGATGTCACCAACTGCCCTGTTGGCGAGCTTTTAGACATATCACAGCGCCTTAAGACTGCTAGTGAGGTGAATGCTGCCATTCTTACCAGTCAGAGCCACGAAAAAGGTTAGTGCCTGTTCATTTTAAATATTCTCGATTTTTTATTTAATGCTGTTCAAGGGAATGTGAATGTTCATACAAATTTAAATTTGCTTTAAACTATTCGATACCATTTAACTATTAGAACATAGGGTTCTAGTTCGTATCTGCCAGTTTGAAAGCCTGGTTATATCTGCAAACCTTAAGTTGTAGTAGGAAAGGGTTCTTAATACATGGTCAAATTGTTGAACCACTTGATCTAAAAGTTTAAGCCCTTAGAAAGGGTCACATGTATATCATTTTCAAGTTTTATTTCCTCATGCCCCCTCACATGTAGGCGATGTTCAATGTTTTCCTATTGAAGCCTTACATGTGCACAATTTTAGTAAGTGGTGACAAGCTTAAATTTTGAGAAAGGGCTACATGTATATTATTTAAGTTTTATCTCCAATACAAATTGGATTGTGAACCAGCATGAGGAAGAAAAAGTTAATATTCTTTATCTTCGATTTGGATAAGCCATTTGTTTAAAACAAGGGTTAATTGTTAAATGTTTTTAACAAGCTTGCTAATGAACCAAATTAACCTAACCAACCACCCAACTCCAACTTTGGGCAGATCTGTTGACGGCTTGTGGATTAGTATATCAGACCAAAAATTTTCTCGGCAAAATCTGACCAGGATTAAGACCACCTGGGAAAAATTATAAACCAATTTATAAACCGATCAACAATAATAATTGCAATGGCTTAAATGTCTTTGTGCACCTAGGGTTTTGTAGTGGTAAAGATTGGCTATGGTAGATGGAGCTGGTAGAGTGGTTAGGGTTCCCAAATGGGTTTAATGATTGCTGTGATACTGGCAGTGACTGTCAGCGAATCAGAGCATTGAGTGCTGGTTGGTGTGCTGCTGCCGAAGAATTTTTTTCATTTATTTGCTACATAAAAAACAAGCAGATCTAAGTTAGATGGTAAGCTGTATACATTTAACTAATTTTAAATGAAAAAGAATTTATCTACTAGTATTTCAATCTTAGAGGTGGTGATGCATGCTGGTATTTGTCTGCCTCGTAGAGGGTGAAATTTTTGGAATTTTTTACTGGTCTCTCTGTTATTTTGTCATCGACTGTAGTGAATTTGTGTTATGTTCTATTAAAAGCAATTCAATTATTCATACAACTAGTCCATTTATTACCTGAGAAATCTGTCACTGAGAGGGCTTGCCTATAATATGTAATTTCACATTTGATGTTCTTTCTTAGGATTATGTTGTAATTTTGTTTTCGTTGCAAAGTAAACAATGCATTTCATACATTGCTAAAATTATTGGAATTCAAATTACTATTATTTTAACAGATCCAAAGCTTCCAAGCTTATTGAAGATGCTAATATGGGCGCAAAATCAACTTGACGAGAAAGCTGCTTATCCTCGAATAAATGATTTATCTACTGGAGCACTTGAAGATCCTGCTGTTTGAAGTGAATGACTGCCAGTGTCTGTATGATACAGGTTCGTCATTCTGGTGTTGCCATCTCAAGGAAATGTTTGAAAGCTTGAAATCTGTGTACTTTTATTTGGATGACCATATATTGTGCTTATGAAAATGTGTTAGGTTGGTAGTGTTTATACGGTGGTGAATTTGGGCATGGCTCGTGTACAGTCTATATATGATCGAGATTATCGAATTATTTGTTAATTTCAGTAAAATAATAGACCAGAATTATCCTTATGACTTCCCAATTCCCATTTCTGCCTTCATGTTCAGATTGATATTGTCATTGCCATCTCAATTAAGAGATATCTTTTATCATACTTTACCGTTTTAATCTCTGCCAGCATTCTTGCAGCCCTGTTCTTCGTAAACCTAGTGCAGGTTTACTTCAGAACTAGTAAAAATTACCCTCCCAAAAAAATAAAAATAAATGAAGAAGAAGAAGAAAGAAATAATACCAATTACATCTAATACCCCTACCAAATATTCACTATAGGCAACAATGAAACTGTCATAGTTTTGATAGGTAATCTACTCAGGAGGATTAACATAGGTACAATCTCAGGTTAAAATGATGTGTTTATGATAAACAAGTCTTGTTACATACAAAGACTAAATCTATGACAGATTTGGAATTCCTCGAATTAAGTTGAGGGCCATCTCTGAAATTAATTGTTAAATTTATATTATCACAATAAACATAAATTGTTACTCTTTGAACAAAGTTGAGGTTTGTCGATAGTACAAATTGTTAGATTATTATAAATCAAGTATTAAAATTTGTTGCCTCCATCTTCAGTTCTAAAAACAGTAACTACACATTCTTTGAATTTCAACAAAAAGTCTCAACGTTCACAAAAGATGACAGTAAGATAAAAGTCCATAAATCAGAATAACAAACAGAAATGCTATGCTACTCCCCAAAAATGTAAGTGTAGGGATAATTGGCAGATGATAACTAATAATTTCTAAGCCTCCATTTCCACCCAGAGAACATAAATCCAGATAGTAGTCTTTGAGTAGTCCTGAAATTCAGGCTGGTGAAATGCATTTCCCTTTTCTTGAGAACCATCATCAAAATTCAAAGCATAACTGGAAGGATCATACTGGAACTTGATTTGCTGTTTGCCTCTTTTCTTGACTGCCTTCTTTGCTGCTGCTCTCATTCTCCAGAACAGCCTTCTGCATTGCTTCTTCCCACAGTTCTGCACCCACACAAAACTTCCCAACATCCCTATAAAAAGTTTGACTGAAATTATTTACTGGGTTCAGTTAAATCAAGAATCTCATGGATATGAAGAAGAAATGGTTCCACCCTCATAACAGGAGGGTATGGAAAGAGCATTTGTTTTTATACTGGTAGAGAATTATAGTGACCAAGAAGAAAAGGGTTTTTCCGGATCCACTTTTTTGCTGTGAGAATTGGGAATAGGAATGTATATATTGACATTATAAATTCAAACGGGAAAGCAAAATGTAAAAATCCTTTTGGTCTGTTGTTAAAGCTGCAGGCTCTTCACAGAGTACTATTCCACTATTTTCTTTGCCTCGAGAGACTCAAATTCCATTGTCTACTCTCACCCCTGCCTATAGCCCCCTCCAAGGTCATGTCACTATCAAATTTGTTACACGATAAGAAATAAAGTGTATTTATTGCTCTGAAGCAGTTTCTTAAAAATTGTTAATAATTTTTTTAAAATCAAATATTAATTTTAATAACACGTTTATCATTAATATATATTTATTATTATTCCTCTTAAAAATTTATTAATAATTTTAGACGAATAGAGGGTACGTTTATGCATGATTTAAGTATATGGTTTGCATGCTTTGTATAACTGTCTCTGCAATTTTTTTTCTTAACTTATTTACATCACATTTCACTTTGCTCTCTGAGTTTAATTATTGGAATTTGGATCTCTAAGTTTTAGATTTTGATATTTTGAGTGTACGGCTTCACATAAGATATGAGAAAAACTTTCTTAATTTTAATACCGGTTAATAATAGCCCCTATTTGACAATCATACTTTTCACTCATTTTTGTGCATATTCATTTTCAACAATATATTCTAACAATAAAATATTATGTATGTAAATTCAAAATTTTTCCTCTTTTTAACTGCACATTTTTCCAAAAAATCACTATTCTAAACTCTTTTTTCTAAAGGCATGGTTGTCAAAGGTCTGCAAGAAATATGAGAGATGCTACTCGAACGGGGCTCTGGACAGGGTTTTAAACATCAGCTCTTGTTTAAAATCCTATCCAAATTCACCTCAGTCCCCTGTTTTTAATCCTGTCCATAGCCTCTGTTTGAGTAGTATTAGTGAAGAAATATAAGGTAATATGCAAAAGATTATAAAATGGTGGAGTTCTACCATACTTTTTCCGCTCTGTACAACCCTATTTGGACATTAACATTAAATTCTCTTGTCCTACCCTAAGATTCCCTAGCCCATAGGTCCATTGCATGTTGACCCTAATCACATACTTCTTTACCCCACTCTATTTTTGGTAAAGTTATTGGAAATAATAATGTGGCTAAAAAATATTTAAAAATGTAACTTTTACGAAATGCGTATATGAAAATGATGTTTAATCAGCTTATAAGCACACATAAATAAAAAAATAAAAATAAAAAATGAAAATGAAAAAGAAGAAGTAAAGTTTCCGCATCATGTATCTCAGTTCAAATGTATTTTTGCAAATGGATTTACTCCTTGAGCTCTCTATTTAGAACCAATCGTGTAAACATTTTTGTTCACAAAGATTTTATGTTATCATATTCTTGCACGCATCATATAATTAGACACTTCTGGGTTTTATAGAACAATCATGTTTTACTGACTATTCCACTTTAAAATTAATTAGAAGAACTCAAATACCTGCATTGTCAAATTAAAAGATAAATTGGAACATGTATATTTCTCTATAACTAAAATTATTTACATATTAACTATCTAATATATGTTTTTTGATTAATTAATTGTTGATAAAGCTGACTGGGAATCAATAATTGACTACAATGTCAATTAGATTAAGATGGATCGGGTCAGTAGACTTGTCATCTTCTGGAAGCCGGCCCTGCTTTCTCTTAGGATCCAATTGGTGGACCCGGGATCTGACTTGCTCTTAAGAAAACAGCCCATGTCGACGAAATTCTAGCCCAACATAAATTATCAGATAATTCAAACCGAAAAACCGACCAAACGGTTTGACATAGGTAATTGGTTTGGTTAGATTTTTTTCAGACAATATCATGGTGCGTCGGCTCAACAAAGGTTCGAAGCCTCAAATCACTGATTAATCGAATCGACCTAAACTCACTTACATGTTTACCTTTTTTTTTAAAAAAAATAAAAAATCAAAATCAAAAGATAAATCCTAATATCATAATTATATCTCGATTTTTTCCAATTTATGATGTTTCCAGCAAGTAATAGTACTGGAAATTTCTTTTTACAAGCTTATTATGTAATATTTAGCCTTTTTTTCTACCCAAAGTTTTCTATTGATCTTTCTCTATTAGTCTAATTTATTATGTAATATTTAGCCTTTTTTTCAACCCAAAATTTTCTATCGATCTTTCTCTATTAGTCAAATTTTATTTGTTAATCTATAGTTCTCGTGATATAAAATTCTTTAGTTATTTTAATTCTTATAATTTAAGTAGGCCCAAACTCCGAACATTTTTTTTATTATTATTATTTAAATAATTCAATTTAGACTAAAGCTGGTTTGGGTTGAAATTTACCCAAACAGACTAATTTAGTTTTAGCTTCTAGTTGGAGTCGAAATTGACCCAAGTCAAACCTCGTCCAGGCCTAGATGATTGTTTCTTCAAATGTTATTTTTGAAATTCATAAATAACTCATTTAACACAAGATATATTCCGTTGATTATAATTTGTAAATTGAGTAATGTGTAATGATATCAACGAGCCGAAACTTAAGGCTCAGGGTCACTTCGATTAAAATCAAACGAGCTTTTTTTCGAGCCCGAGCCGACCGAGCAAAAGCTCGACCAAAAAAAGAGGCTCGGCCCTTAGCGAGGGCTGACTTGATTTTTTCTCTTCTTCATTTTTTTCTGCCTTATTAAAATAAGGTGACATCATTTTCATTTTTTTCCCTTTTTTTTAAATAAGGCTCGAGCCACACAAGCCAACTCGGGCTTTGCCCGGAACCTCACAATTGGGCTCGTCTTGAGCCTCAAGCCGAGCCAGCTCGAGCTTTTTTCGGGCCGAGCTACAAGCAGCCCAGCGAGCGAGCTCAATTGACATCCCTAGTAATGTGTTACAGAAAAATAAGTCTGTGTGTAATAGCATATCAATTATAAAATAACTAAAATTACACAAAGATGAGAAAAGGGTTATAAAGAATAGTCTGAGAGAGTCAAGAAAGTCTTATCCTAAAATCGTGTATTTTCCCTTTCATGCGATTACTATAGGCAAAGCTGGGCTTCAAGACAAAACCTTATAGTTCGGTCGATTTTTTCTTCTCTGAAAACGATCACAGGGAAAGAAAGAACGAGCATTGTATCAAGTTTTCAAAAATTAAAAGAGAATATCTAGTAAAATGTATAGAAGGTATTCTTTCAAATTGTGTGTAAAACAAATGGAAGATTTCCTCCTTTTTATAACTAATATTAAAATTAAACCTTTCAAATATAACTCAAATTATAAAATTATTATTTTTAAATTTATATTAAAAATTAAGAAAAAAATTAAAATTAAGCTTAAATTTGAAAGTTTTGAACTTCTACTTTACAATAATCCTACAAAAGGTTTATTCTTTCAATAAATAAATATATTGTAGCAATGTAATAATGTACAATAGGTAAAGGTATCTTTCAAATTTAAACCTTGTTTAGCAATAATAACTTTTCATTTGAGGGTGTCAAAATGGATTGAGCCTTGAATCAAGGTCCTTTAGCCAAACCTTTATTATCCCACATAGTATCAATTAGTCTCAGCTCATAGCTGTTAACGATGTTAATAACCATGCACTCGTATCTTGATTTTAATAAAAGTTTCTAGAGAGTAACACAATCCCATAACAACGACCTCATGACAATTACATAGGTGAGTCCTCGAGGGTGCGTATGACTCACATGTCGCAATAATTACCATCTTTGTACTCATTTAGGGTCAAATCCTTTCTAACTTCACAATCATTAACACTATCACCATATGGATAAGCATAAATAATATAATACTTTTATAAGCCAAGCAATCTAGGTTGTTTCT